TGCAGGTGACGAACTTGCTTCCAGACACCATATATAAGGTTCGCATTTTGACTTTATCGATGCTTTTTAGTCAGTCTCTGTAGCAGTCTTAATCGCGAGTTGTTCTTACCTTCGCTTACTCTGATAGTTTAATATTTAGCCGTCGTAGTATGCCTTTGCGTCATTTTCGCAGTTGACACCCATCTCAGAGAAGGAAATGAACCTTAGAGAGATTATTTCTTAACACAGAAGACTTTCCGCATACACACTGCGCGTTGTTTATAACAAAAAGCATTCACACTGGCAATTCTGCTGTGAAAACAGAATGAATTTTGTTGGCGTTTCAACCGCTTTCTTTCTGCTAAATATGTATTTTTTGCAGCATACTTTGCAAGCGCAGAATTCATCGCGAACGAAAACAGAGAGACAACCCTCAATTCGTGTTGTTTGTAGAGAAATGGCACCAGGTAAAAGTGACTGACATTTGGACAAGGCAGTAAAGGATTTCTCACAGAGTTACAACTGCTGAAAGGACTACTCGTCACTGAGTGAGGTCTGGTGTAGGATCGTAAACGGGCTCAGGAAAGCAATTTTGATTGCCATCTTCTGAATTTTTACGGATCTTACAGCCTCTGATTCTTGTGGCGCGCTGACAGTGGCCCAGTTTCAGTGGTGCAAATTGCTGTAAGTCGGATGGAAGGATAGCAATTACGCAAAAATTTGTTTCACAACTATGGGGAACTTGCGCGAACATACTAGCACCCGTAAATTGAGTGGCAAAACAGTTGCGTTGTTGCTGTGCTTTTAGGATCGTCTGCGAAGTGTGAAATATTCTCATCCTAGATGCTCAGAAGAATGCGAGGAGTTGAATTGTGAGATAGGCTAAGAATGAAGCGGAAGGAAGATGTAACATAGCTGCACTGTGCTTCTTGCGGCATTTCAGAAATGCTCAGAATTCCTTTTGGATGACAGTTCCGGCGATCATATGAATTCCGAGTATCATCCCTTTACCTTTGCAATTCGTCGAGTTTGAAAGTTTTGAAGCGTTTACTTCTGTGAAGGAGCTGAAATATCAGTCCCAATAATAACATAAATCATTTTCTAGATTTCCTCCTTTTTGTCTGTTTCCCATCTTTCCTATTTCCGGTTTCTTATTTTTTTCCTTTATCACTCCTCGTTTGTAGCTTCATATCATGACAGTTTTATTTTTGTACATATTTCTCATAGGGTTTATGTATTATTCTGTTCTGTTTTTGTAAACGCCGCCTTACTGATTGGCAGTCAGCAGCTCGTATCACCGGAAGGCAGAGACTGCTGCTTCTACTGGGCCGTGAGCGAGGACTAGTACATAAGCGGGTTTGCCTAATTATGATACCCCTGCAGTCATCATCCCCGGCAACCATCATTCTCGGCAGTTCTTATCCCCCCTCAGCCGTCACTCTTGGCAGTTTTCCCCTTCCTGGCAGTCAGCATTCTCTCGACAGTTATCATTTGTCGGACATTCATCATCCTCGGCCCAGTTTCTCACGTCAAACTCATCACTTGAAAAAGAGGTTGCTCGTCAATTTTGCATTATTATCGTCATCATCTTCCCACCCTATCGGAGTTCATTTTCATTGCTGTTGAGTTCATTACCTGTCACAAGACATAAAGCCTTTCCAAACTATGCCTTCCGTACCTTACGCGCCAGGACAACCCTCACATTACACTTGTCTTTACTCTTCTGAAGCTGTTGCCCAGTCAATTTATTACTGATTTCGAGTGAATCGCTTCGTATAATGTTTTAGTTGGCGGAATTTCGTTGAAAGAGCACTTCGAAATTAACGTTTTGCCGATGACTGCTCAAATTACATATCGCTTTTTCGAAAAAATGATGGGATACTTCTTCCCGGGCCGTAACATCGACAAAGAGGACCAGCGTAATCTAGACACAGCAGATGAGGCACAAAACACTCAGGTATCACTCTACTTATCACTTTTTCTTTTGGTGCTGTTTCGGCTATTTCTTCATTTATTTTTTCCCTTCATTCTCTCTTTTTCATGCCCCTCATTCCTTTTAAATAAATGTTCACTTTAAAAAAAAAATGAAATTATTAGCTTAGGACTGTGATGCTATAACAGTCATGTGTTGGATTGTACATGCACGGCGGCCTTAGTAATTCACGGTCCTTTGCTTGCAGTTACTGCTGTGAAACCCGAAACACGGTTAATTCTGAGGCAACCTTCTTTAATGTTAAATTCAAGACTGTGCAGTGTTTTCACAGATGTTTAGGGGGCATCTGTACGGCAATGGCTGCGAGGGGCGATGAATGGTTCATTCCGGCGAACCAATGAAACAAGTCAGCTGCGTGATGATATCGATCGAATGAAGGAGCGAGCGCAGGAAAATAACGTTTTCCTATACATTAAAATTCCCGAAGTACCTTTTATTGTTTCATATAAGGTTAGTTTCCGCTTTTCTCAGCAATGATTTTACGCCATTTAGGCGGCAGTTACAAGTGTTGAGAGAATGGCGTGATTTTTTTATGGATGCCGTGTCTTTCTAAATACGCCTGTTCGGTTATTGCTTGGCACAACTGTGAAGCGCTTTATCTTCCGAGAATTGTTCGTAGGGATCGAAATCGTGCCATCAAATTATGCAATAGCCAGCCACACTATGGGCAGTTAAACCACGGCCTAAGCTTACAGTCGTGCTTATTTCTTTTTTTTTTAAATGTCTGAAATCAGTCCATCTGAAAATTTTTTGATTACTCTCTGCAGCACTTTACCTGGGAATAGCCACACCTAAACGCATCCTTCACAATTGATTCCTGTTATGAGGAGCGCAAGAAAAATCAGCAGTACCCAAGACAGATGTATGCAAAAACGCAGGAGAAAACGTTTTGCCGTCAGTCACTTTCTAGATAAAAATAAGTAGCGGTGTGCAGCAGGGTTGCCGGTGCGATCATGCGTTTTGTGCAATTCCGTCTAGCGGACATTGGACTGCTAAAAATTTCCACTATGAATGGTCAACTTGTCTATGAAAAAATGGTCAACCTGTTGTCTTATTCCTAAGCTGCACTTTTTCCTGACTCTCCTCCGTGTTGGAGGATTTGCTGCATAATTAGATTAAGTAATCTG